ACTAAACTAAAGAGACAGCAGGTTTCGTCTCGCCGCAGCGGGGGAGAGTAAAACCAAAGCTAAGCCTTCCGCCGCGGCAGCGTTACTTTCACCACCGTCAATTCTCCGGGGGATCAGATGGCTCGTTCTATCTCCAACGCCAAGTTCGTCTCTGCTTTCGTGCTGGACAGAGTCTCTGTTTCCGCTACCAGGAGCTATACGGCGGCGGCGGTGGCGGCGCAGGGGTCTGTTTCCGGTGTAGCAGGGAGGAGCAACACGATGCTGAAGAAAGGAGGAGATGAATCGGGGAAGAGCGCCACCTCCTGGATTCCGGATCCCGTCACCGGATACTACAGACCGGAGAGCCACGTTAACGAGGTCGACGCTGCCGAGCTGCGTCAGATGCTCTTGAAGAATACCACTAGACAACATTAAACCACATCAATCTTTACTACTTTCCTAATACTATGTTGTTCCGCTGATATGATGTTTGCTTCCTATACTAGCAACCCCGCCCAGACATATACTGGTTCCGGGAAAGAATAGAATGAATTTGTGTTTCTTTTTCAAAAAAAAAAAAAAAAGTTTTGTTCTAAATAATCAAAATAAGATTAATTAAACGAAAAAAAAACCTAAATTTGTTTTTTTTAATGGAAAAAAAAAATCAAATGATTTTTAAAGTTCCTAATTTATAATCTTTGATGCTAAACTTTGAATGTTATGTATTTAGTTGAGCTAATTATTTGCAATCATTATTGTGTGGACCATATTTTGTATACTGTAAAATAATGTACATTCAGTATAAAAATAATGTATTTTTAGTATATTAAAAGTGTATATTGTATTCAGGGGATGTACATTATTTGTGTACTGAGTGTAGATTATATAACATAATGTACACTCAGTACACAAATAATGTATATTTAGTATATTAAAAATGTACTTTTTGTTATGGTCCACACAATAATTTGTCAATTATTTGACCAAAGTTTATGTTAAATTTTATATTATTATAAAATTTTAAAACATTTTAACATATTCGTAGTATATGTTTATGCCAACTTTAATTAGGATGGAGTTCGAACCTAAGACCTTTCTTATAGAAATTAATGATTAAGTAAAGAAATAATAAATAGTTAACGAAATATTCCGTTATTAAATTTTATACTAATGGAATTTAGGGTTATTTAATGGAAGAAAATAATATAATAGAGGGTAAATAAGGAAAATCATTAAAAAATACTAAAATTAAAATAATATGAACCATTCATTTTAAGAAACAATTACGCCAATATTTTTTTGTTCCAGTTAAGGGCCTAACATTATTGGCTCTTATTATATTTTTGTGTGTGTGTGTGTGTGTATATATATATATATATATATATATATATATATATATATATATATATATATATATATATATATATGGAAGGGATCAGGTGCGGGAATAGCTTCCCGTGCGGTTCTGCAGTTGGACGCACATTAAGCATTAAACTGACGCACTTTAAGTACACAACACACGCACATTAAGCACACAAACAAAACACCTTAAGAACACAAATCACGCACCTTAAGAACACCAACCACGCACCTTAAGCACATAACAAAGCACCTTAAGAACACAAATCACGCACCTAAAGTTTTAAAAATAGTTCAATTTAAGTTTCACATAACTGACGCACATTAAGCATACAAATCACGCACCTTAAGATGAAAACAACGCACATTAAGAAGGAAACTCACGCACCTAAGTTTTAGCAACTACTCACATTAAGCACAAATCCACGCACCTTAAGCATAAAACTCACGCACCTTAAGTTTTAACAACTTCTACCATTAAGTACACAACTCACGCACCTTAAGCACAAACTCACACACCTAATATACAAAACTCACGCACCTTATTCACAAAAATCATGTACCTTACATTTGACCTAAATGTAAAAAATTGCCAAAATACCTCAGTGTTTTTTATTTAATTTTGGTAATCTAAACGTTGATTTAAGCAAAATCAATGGTTCTCCTTTCACCGCACAACCGCACTTGCCCCCTCAACTTTACCCTTGTTAACTAATCCTTATCTTTATATAACAATAACAACATATATAAAAGAAATATATATTTATATAATAAAAAATATACATGTGTGTATATTTATATATTTATTAATAATTAATCATTGATATACACACACATTATTGATGACATTATAGCATTGATCTATATTTTTTTAGTACAGTAAATTGATAACTATTAATTAAACAATTATTCGTACAACCCAAACTAAATAATATTCAAAGTAATACCGTCCCATTTTATTTGTCTTACTTAGAGCAACTCCAAAGTGGCTGCAAAACGAAAAATTATGTCAGCAAAAACACTAAATATGCAAATTAGACGGTTCCAAGGAAGATGGCATCGCGGCATAACGCCAATGCTTTTGGCGTTAAATGAACAGTGCCACGCCATATATGGCGGGGCACTATTCATCCGCGGCAAATGTAATATAGGGAGAAAAGTTATCATTTTGCCCTTCCTTCTTTTTATGATTTCAAATGTATCCTTTATTTGTTTTATATGTAATTTTTTATTTTTTTTTAAATACTTATATTTAAAGTTTGTATTATTAAATATAAATTATACCATTTTAAAAATCTCATTGAGACGATCGAAACGAGACTAATATTGAATATATATTAATTAAAATTTCAAATACATCAAACCTAGAACATAATAAAAATTAAAATACATACGACATAATATTGATATTAGAAAATACAACACAATTTTGAAAAATAAAATAAAATAAATAATTTTCTAGTCCACTCCCACTTCCTCCCAAATTATCAAAATATTTATCAAATTCACGATTTGTGGGAACGATTTAGTAATTCCGATAATTAAATGTACTAGATGTTGTATGCTATATTATTATTGTGGAATAAATTAAATTTTCAAAAATATTGTTAAATTTGTTTTTTTTTAAATAATTAATGTTATAAAAAAATTAATGTTAATAAAAATTATTATTTATATCACAAGTTATATTTTATATTAAACTAATTAAGTTCGAATTAATTTATATTAAACTAATTAAATTCAAACTAATAATTGAAAAATTAAATTATTTTAGTGTAAAAGTTTGGTGTTTTGGTGTAAATGGGTTGGAGATGAATAAAATTTGGTATGAGAATATGCTGAGAATATTCCTTCTGATGTGACATTTGGTGGAGAAATTGGGTGTTTTGGTGTTGCGTGGGTTGGAGATGGCCTTACTATTAATTGGTCAAACTTTCTTTAGTATTTTTTTGCGATTTTTTTTTCTGTATTTAATAGTACTTTTAGTGTAGTTTCTAAATATATAAATTTTGTATACTAATACTAAACTTAATATTATGTAAAATTGAATCAAAAGTAACTTCAATCAAGTTTCGATAACTGAACTAAACACATAAAATGAGACGGAAGGAATATTACATTCTCAAAATTTTACATTATCTTTCAAGAGATAATTGTTTAGAGCAATCTCGTTAGTGAGGTTTTTGGGTTAATTATGGGGCCTACTTAAAAACCTAATTTTGCAGGAGGATAAACCACAAAAAATCCACATTTCCCATTAATATAAAAATCAGTCTTAGTTGGTCACATGTAGGAATGACAATTCTATCCGCACTCAACGGGTTACCCGCATCCCCGCCTCAATGGGCAATAAAATACCCGCACAATTTGGGTAATGGGTGCGAGTATGGGGAAAAAGTTTTAAACCCGTGCGGGTATGGGGGTGAGTGCGGGGAGAGGTATCCCCGCCCCGCACACACACACACACAGATATATATATATATATATATATATATATATATATATATATATATATATATATATATATATATATATAGTGTTATTCTCGTGTTGAAGTCTATAATTACTTTTTTGTATTAAGTCGAGGATTTGAAGCACTAATATAATTCATGAAGATTTGGAACATTAAACTTGAAGTATTATATAGATTTTTGGGTAGTAAGGGAATGTCCTAACTCACTAATATTACAACTTCTAATTATTTTTTGGTGCTAGTGGCTAAGATTTTATACACTAATGTTTTGGTGCTAGTGGTTAAGATTTTATACATTAATGTTGAAGTTGGAAGCAAATGTAATATTTATTATAAATTGCAGTAATAAAATTTTTATTGAGTTAATACCCAAAATTGTCCTCAACTATAGTGGTTTTTCTCAATTTCGTCCTAAACGACTTTGGTGACCTAATATAGTCTCAGACTTTTGTGTTTCGCTCAATTTAGTCCTCCGTTTGTTATTCCGTCAAATTGGTGTTAAATAAAAAGACAATTCAATAATATCAATATTGACCTCTCTTTACTTTCAACCTGCGAAGTGAGATATCTCTCTTTCTTACACGAATTACACCCAGAGTTACTCTCAGACTTACGAATCAAATTTTATATTCGCAGCTTTAGAAGTGATTCTGGGAGTAATTCGTAAAAAAAAGAGGCATTTCGCACTTCACATGTCTATGAATAAAGAGATGTCAATATTAAAATTACTGAATTTTTTATTTATTTAACAACAAATGGACGGAATAACAAATGAGGGACTAAATTGAGCAAAAACACAAAAGTCAGGGACGAAATTGAGTAAAAACACAAAACTCTGGGACTACATTAAGTCACCAAAGTCGTTTAGGACAAAATTGAGAAAAATTACTATAGTCAAAGACGCTTTTGGGTATTAACTCAATTTTTATCCCCATGGGGCGAATATGAGAATAAATTTTATTATCCTTACTTGCCTTAAAGTGAGGTTCAAACCTTTCACTTTTCACTTAGAAGAGTGACCGGGTACCAGTGAGGCTTGTTTTAAATGCGCTTATTTGCTCTTAGTTAATACAATCTTGCACTATGAACCAAACGTCTCCTTAATATTTAAAATTGTATATCTTCTTTGCTTGCGTCTACGATCGGATGACTCACCAATCAATGAATCGGATATATATTCATATTAATTCTTCATACTTATAGATGATAGATATCCTCCAGCTCAGAAGTCAGAACCTTCACACCAAACTCTACATTCTATCCTGCTTTTCTTCTGCTCTTTGCTCTGCATCGCCATTCTCAAAGAAATGCACAAGTTATTTGCTGCCAGGTCCTTAACCTCTGCTTTATTTAAAAATCGACCCCGCCATCAGCTCCCTGCTGCTTTCTCTACTTCTTTACTCTTCGATGATACTCAGATACAGGTCTCTTCTGCATCTACCTCTCTTGTCTATAATTTCTTGCTGATTTTAGCATTACTCTAATGTTTTTTTTTTTTTTTTTTTTTTTTTTTTTTTTTTGGGTTTCAGTTTAAAGAAAGTGTTTCTCAGTTTGCTCAAGAACATATTGCCCCTCATGCGGAAAAAATCGATAAAACGAATTACTTTCCACAGGTTGTATACAATTTTTTTTTTTTTTTTTTTTGTTGGGGTGCTATTTTTTATTTTATTTTTCAAGAAATTGTTGTGATTATATGCTGATGTTCATATGTATATATTTCAGGATGTTAATTTATGGAAATTGATGGGTGATTTTAATCTCCATGGAATTACTGCTCCAGGTAGAACATTTCATCATTGCACTAAATGATATTCTTATCGTGGGAATTTTTATGGTACCTTGGGCATGGAAGAGATGTAACTCTAGCTTTGCCAGAGGTACTAGGAGGGAAGGGTACAACTCCACTATGCATAATAAGCTATCTACAAAGCAGTGTTGAAAGGGGCCTAATAATTATGATTTCATTAGTTATTGATTATCAATAATTTTTTTTTTTAAAACAAATTTGTTGAAAGTTTCATATATATTTGTCAGACCTGATTTTATTTTGATTAGATTTGGTACTCCATTTTTTAAGTGTATGAGTTAATCTATTGCATTTTTGTAGAGGAATATGGAGGCCTTGGCCTTGGCTATATATATCACTGTATAGCTTTGGAAGAAATTAGTCGTGCCTCTGGATCAGTTGGCCTTTCCTTTGGTGCCCATTCTAACCTATGCATTAATCAGTTGGTAAATAATATTCTCGGAATATTATTTTATAAAGGAATATGTATTACTGCCTCCCTCGTCTTTTACTAATATTTAAGATTTTTGTAGGTGAGGAATGCAAATCCTGATCAGAAGCAAAAGTATTTGCCAAAGGTTCCAAAATTTTGATTTTTATCTTTTTGGTTGTCTTGTGTTCATCCTGTATGGTTGATGCATGCATGTGATAAATGTATAATTAAAGGTGGTTTCTTGGTGGTAAACTCCAACACTTCTTTCAGTATCACAATGCTTATTTGATTTCAATATTTAGTACTACATTGCAACCAGAAGATTTAATAAATATTATAAAAACAAAATTCACTTTTTAAATCTGTATGCAATAGCACATTGGTTCTCTCAAGATTTTTCCCTCAGCAATGAGTCAAATTTTCTTTTTCTAAGCTAATACTTTACTTTGTTTTTCTCAGTTTCAATTAGATATGAAATTACTTGTTTTCTGGCTAACTTTTTTCTCTATCTTTATTTGGTGAAGCTAATTAGCGGCGAGCATGTTGGGGCTCTTGCAATGAGTGAACCCAATGGTACTTTTCCTATAATTTTATTTATTCCAGAGTTGTTTTCTCTCTCTTTCTCTCTATAAACTTCTAGTAGAGGTTTATGAGTTCATTGGGTTTTTAATGGTTTGTGATTAATTCGGTTCCCATTTCAGCTGGGTCAGATGTTGTTAGCATGAAATGCAGAGCTGATCGTGTTGATGGGGGTTATGTTCTGAATGGGAATAAGATGTGGTGCACCAACGGTCCTGTGGCTCAGGCTCTGGTATCATTCCTGACAATTCCTTTCCTTGCTTTATATACTATCTGAGAGATTGTGACTGGTTTGAAGTTGATGCTAAAATTCTTATTCTATAAATATTTCCATCTGATATTAAATTTAGGATTTTTTAAACATAATATAGCCTATTAGCATGCCCAGACAAAAAAAGGAATCTCATTGCAGTAGTTTGATCTCTAGATTTGATCCTTGTTGGAGTATTATCTTTGAAGATGCAGCCATTTGTTGGGGGTACCCCTCCAATTGCCATTTTTTTAGTTTGTATGAATAGACGACCTTTAGTCTGCTGCGGGTAACTGAATTCTTGTTCAGAATATGCTTTTTTGATGGTCTTATCTGAACAATTTACTATTTTCCTTCATTCTCTTTGTAGTTCTTCTGGAATATCTCTTCTGTGAATGTGATGAATAATAGTCTTCCTTGAACAATAGGATTGATGGTACTCCAGTATAGTTGTTATCTTATTATTATTCTTTTTGGGTTAGGAATGATTTTTTGGTATCCATCATTGATAAATTAGATTGGGTCAGGTTGTTTATGCAAAAACAGATATTGCTGCTCGCTCAAAAGGAATCACAGCTTTTATCATTGAGAAGGGAATGCCAGGGTATGTACTTCATCTTGATTCAGAAGAAATAAATGATTTTTTTTCCCCCAAAATACACCACTAAATTTAGATTTTGACATGTTAAAGTTAAAGAAAATTGAGAGAAAGCAAGGAGTACATTGTTTGCCCTTTCAATTGATGGATTGATCTAACTATTATGAGATGATAACTAAGGGACCAATTTGCATACCAGTTTTGACCATTTTGGCTTATTTCTAGTATGAAGCATCTGTGCGTAACAAGGTTAAGTTTTACATGTCTTAGAGCTCATGTTGCAACTTTTTCTCTTTGCAGTTTCAGTACTGCCCAGAAATTAGACAAACTTGGGATGAGAGGAAGTGATACGTATGTTTGTCTTATCCCAAAGCCTGTATATACCATACCCTCTGTGTGGAAAATGGGCTGACACTTGTATTTTTTACCCTGTAGGTGTGAGCTTGTGTTTGAAAATTGCTTTGTTCCGGAAGAAAATGTTCTGGGAGAGGAAGGGAAAGGTATCTGTTCTTTTAATGTCAGAAAGCAATGCATTTGAGGTTTCAATATCATTTTCTTAGAACACGGGAACTTAATAGATGTGCAAGGAAAACAATAACATAAAGTGTAATGTTTCTTGGCCTCACGTGTCTACTTCAGGAGTTTATGTCATGATGTCGGGCCTGGATTTGGAAAGACTTGTTCTGGCTTCCGGACCTCTTGGAATCATGCAAGCATGTCTTGATGTGGTACTTCCATATGTTCGTCAACGAGAGCAATTCGGGAGGGCCATTGGCGAACATCAATTTATACAGGTTCCAACACATGATGCAAAAACTTATTTTATTCATTGTTGCATGCTTCTTATTAAAGTCAACCGTTTTTTTTTTTTTTTTTTTTTTTTTTTTTAATGCAGGGCAAAATTGCCGACATGTATACTGCATTACAGTCCTCAAGGTTGAAGTTTCCTTTAGTAATTTTGTCTCTCACGATTTTTATTTAGTATGCACGGCTCTTATACTAACTCTTCTTCTTACATGATTGCAGATCATATGTCTATTCGGTTGCCAGAGACTGTGACAACGGGAAGGTTGATCCAAAGGTTGGATGTTATCACTTCGCCTAATGTTTACATATTATCACTCGTGGATAATCTTTGTGGTCTTCTTTGCTTTATTTAGATGTTGAACAAACAATGTCGGGCCTAGATTTTGTCATTGATTCTAACGTTATAAATCTCTCAGGATTGTGCAGGTGTAATACTCTGTGCAGCTGAAAGAGCCACTCAAGTTGCTCTTCAGGTGAGCGAAGAATTCTGGCAATAGCTTTCACTAAAATTTTACGATAGAGTTTGCATTTCCCTATGCTGCCGAAATTCTTCTTTTACTAGCCTATGGTTCTACGCCTGTTTTTTCGAATCTGTATCTCTAGATTGTACTGGATACAAGGCTATATGGTATTTGAATATTATCATCCTTAATGTAATTGCCTTCATTCTTGCAGGCTATTCAGTGTCTTGGCGGTAATGGGTATGTAAACGAGTACCCGACTGGGCGCTTCCTTCGCGATGCCAAACTCTACGAGATTGGGGCAGGCACTAGCGAGATTAGAAGAATGATAATTGGTCGCGAGCTCTTTAAAGAGCAATGAACGAGGAATTACCATTTACCACGTTATGATACGAGTTCTTCTCACGCAGTGGAATTGAAGCAGCTTTGTCTTGCTGAGAGTTGAAGGTTAACACAATGGCAGCTTTTCTGCCCACTAATAAGGCCTTGTTTGATTGTAATGAACAATTGCAAAAGAATAATAATACTAATATCATATTATATTTGAACTTGTCCTGTGAATCCCCTCTTTGGTTGAAATTGCATATATGCTGTTGCTGTTTTGAGCCTTTTAACATAATCCTTTGAATATTGAGAGATTATTCCTCTGAAGTTTTGAATAAACTTTTCCATTCTCACAACCCCAAGCAACAAAGCGGACAGACATACATATGATCTGCAATTATTTTTGTGAAGAGAAGTTGGTTTAAGAGTTGCATCTTATTACCATATATACATCGATTTTGGTACCATTTTAACTTTTGTGGATGCAATAAATATGCTAAGGAATTTAGATTTTGTATATGCCAAAAGAAAAACAGCAAAAGAAAAGAGCAGCAGAAGAAGAAGTGGTTCATTTGCAATTTTGCATACGCAAGGGATTCCCACATCGGCTGAACACAGACAGTGGAGCAGAGCAGTAGGTTATAAAAATGGGCCGAGTGCAATTGGGCAACATACTTACCTGGACGGGGTCAATGGGTGACCAACAAGGCCCATGGCCTAGGTTGATGACTTCCATTGCACTTTGGAAGGGTGTTAATCTAAGGTCTACTTAATAGGTGGAGTCTACGTCATAATTTGTGGTAGAGGGGGCCTGCGTTTTACCCAATTTCATACCAAAGTTTCAGCGTCTAATACAAAGCCCATTTGTTTGTGCGCAGTTGTATATTTGATATTTGTGGTAGAGGGGGCCTGCGTTTTACCCAATTTCATACCAAAGTTTCAGCGTCTAATACAAAGCCCATTTGTTTGTGCGCAGTTGTATATTTGATTTTGTGCTCTGCTGAACCTGATGCGATTCACTGTAAGTTTAAATTAAATTCGCGTTCATCAAACATACCAAGTAATACTCAAATTAGGTGACCTTGATATTTTGTTGTTATTGTGGAGGTTGGCAAGATTATAAATACCCTTTTTTTTTTGGGTGTTTTCGAATTACAATAAGCGCTTTGATTTTATTGTAAAATAAACATTAAAATATTTCTATTAATGTGTTTTTGTTGGGTTTTCTTCTTGTGTGGCATAGTGTATGTGAGATGACTTGTGTGGCATAGTGTATGTGAGATGACTTGGAGTAGGGAAAGGGAAATAAACCAACTTCTCCTACAAATTCAAATTCTTGCATTGCTTTTGGAGTTGGAAAAAAATAAGTGAGAAAATTGTGCAATATGTATGTGCATGTTAAATGCGTTAGGGTGGTTACCAACTGACGAACACCCTGAATATTTTTTAACTTAATTCTTTTACTCTATTTCTTTAGCACTCAAAAACTCAACCACTGGTCTTTCTCTTCAATTTACTTTTTAATGGCACATATTATAACTATAATATTTTTACAAGTGTTGAATTGAAAAAAATAAATAAAATGGCAACTTGCCATGCTATTCCACCATGACACTACATAAGTACATTCCATGGTTGTGTACTTGGGTTGTGGTCATGGTACAAGCAAGGCCATTAGTGGGCAGAAAAGCACCAACAGAATTGAAGGGTGGTTTGATTCCACAAGCCATAACGTAAAGAACTCGTACCGTTGTATGGTAATTCATTGTTCATTACATTTTAAAGAGATCACGACCAACTATCATTCTTCTGATCTCTCTAGTGTCTGCTCTATTCTCGCTGAGTTTGGAATCACAAAGGAAACGGCCAATTGGGTACTTAGTTTACATACTCATTATCACCAAGACACTAAATAGCTTTCAAGAGTGAAGCTAATTACATCAAGGATGATAATATTAAAAAAATACCATGCCTTGTGCATTTTGCAATATTTTTGCCTTGGATCTAGTACAATCATACATATGTTGGAAATTTTAGCTAAAATGATAGTTTTGAGTGGCTACTTTGTGGTACAAGTATATATGGGGTTCACTTCTAATTTGGGTTGGATTAAAGTGGATTCGGGTTCTTCGTAGTGAGAAGAAAGAATTGATATATTTGACGTTCAAAATGGATAATGAGTAAATGAGAAATTGATTCTCAAAGTAAACTCATTTGAGTTCAAAAATTGAGCCTACAAAACCTTGACTCATTTGCACCCGACTGGGTGCTTCCTTCGCGACGCCAACCTCTACGAGATTGGGGTAGGCACTAGTGAGATTAGAAGAATGATAATTGGTCGCGAGCTCTTTAAAGAGCAATGAACGAGGAATTACCATTTACCACATTACGATACGAGTTCTTCCTGTTATGGATTGTGATCTAACACAGGGCAATTGAAGAAGCTTGTCTTGGGTGAGAGTTGAAGGTTAACAGTATGGCAGCTTTTCTGCCCACTAATAAGGCCTTGTTTGATTGTAATGAACAATTGCAAAAAGAATAATATTATTATTCTAATATCATATTATGTTTGAACTTGTCTTGTGAAGGAACCCTTCCTTGTTTTTTGGGAAAATACCAGCTGGCAAAGATCATCATTCGGGCCTTGAATGATGTTGTCCCCTAAATCTACCGCAGTGGGTAGGGAATTTGTAGTTTCTTCGTTCAATTCAACAACAAGATTTATGTTACCTGGAGTTGTGTTCTGCTGTTCTTGGATTTCTTCGAACGGTACTTGGGAGATTGGGACCGGTTCCATGGTGATAGAGCTTTCTTCTTCGATGCAGAGTGGATTCGAAGGTGCTCCGGTGCCCGTGTACTGTGGTGAACTGCCGGTAATCCCTCTTCGCGGTATATTTCCTTTTCCTTGATTTCTTGTTCTCACCATTGTTTGATGTTGCGAAGAGTGAGAGATGTTTGGGGATGGTTTGCTTTGGGTAGAAGACGACTCTGTTACTTAATTTGGGGATGTTTCTTGGTTTGGGCCCGGGTTTGGGCTTGTAGGGTGATTAATAAGATATGGGCTCTTCTATTGTGGTATGGGCCCTTTTTTTTTTATATTTGTCTGAGTAGGATTGGCCCATGTGCCTATTGATCTTTATATAATGCATAGTCCAAATTCGGCCCTTAATTTTGCATATTTGTTTCCATCAAGTGCTTTTGTTAGGATATCTGCTAGTTGTTTTTCTGTGTTGATGTGTGTCAAATTGATGATTTCATCTTCTACCAGTTTTCTTAAGAAGTGGTGCCTAATATCGATGTGTTTTGTTCTAGAATGTTGTACTGGATTTTTTGAGATATCTATTGCGCTTTGGTTATCGCAATGTATTGTCATGATTGATTGATGTATTCCGTAGTCTTCTAGCATTTGTTTCATCCAAAGTAGTTGTGTGCAACAACTTCCTGTTGCAATATATTCAGCATCAGCTGTTGATAAAGATATGAAAATTTGTTTTTTGCTAATCCAGGATACCATGTTTGTTCCTAAGTAAAAACATCCTCCTGAGATGTTTTTCCTGTCATCTATGTTTCCTGCCCAATCAGCATCACAATAGGCTGATAAGTGGTGATTGGTATCGAAGGAATACCATAGTCCCAGTTCGATAATTCCTTTGACATATTTAATGATTTTTTTTACTGCCTTTAGGTGTTGCTCAGTAGGATTTGCTTGATATCTAGCACAAATTCTTACTCCAAAGCTTAGATTTGGCCTACTTACAGTCAGGTATAGTAGTCCTCCTATCATGCTTCTATATAGGGTTTGCTCAACCTGTCTTCCTTCTGGATCTTTTGATATTCTCTCTGTTGTTGGAACTGGTGTTTTAACAACTTTGCTTTCCTCTAATCCGAATCTTGTGACTAAGTTCTTTGCATATTTGGTTTGTGATATAAAGATCTCATTATTGTGTTGTTTGATTTGTAGCCCAAGGAAGTAGTGTACGCAGTTCACCAACCATGCTCATCTCAAATTCTCCTTCCATTTGGTTTTTGTGGCATTCATGTGTTGAGCCGAAAACTATGTCATCAACATAGATTTGGGCAATGACAATGTCTTGACCATAGTGTTTGACGAATAGGGTTTTGTCCACACTACCTCTTTTGTAACCTTTTTTGATTAGGAATTCAGTGAGACGTTCGTACCAAGCTCGTGGTGCTTGTTTTAGCCCATATAGTGCTTTGTTGAGTTTAAATACACTTTGTGGAGAATGAGGGTCCTCAAACCCTTTTGGTTGAGCAACATAGACTTCTTCTTTTAGATTACCATTTAAGAATGCCGTTTTCACGTCCATTTGATAGAGTTTTATCTTGAGTATGCAAGCCACTGCTATGAGGAGACGAATTGATTCAATTCGGGCTACAGGGGCAAAGATTTCCTCAAAGTCTGTCCCTTCAATTTGTGTGGATCCTTGTGCTACTAGTCGGGCTTTGTTTCTTGTTATGTTTCCTTGTTCGTCTGTTTTGTTCTTGTAGATCCATTTTGTCCCGATGATGTTGGCGTTTTCTGGTTTGGGGACTAATTCCCAGACGTTGTTTCTTTCAAATTGTTGTAATTCTTCTTGCATAGCCTCCACCCAAAATTCATCTTTTAAGGCTTCAGTGATGTTTTTGGGTTCTATTTTGGAGGTGTAGCAATAGTCTCCTTCTTCCATTTTTTGATAATCTCGTTTCTTTCCTCTGGTTTTGATTCCTTCATTGAGTCCGCCTATAATGTTTTCTACTAGGTGATTTTTCTGGATTCTTGTGTCATTAGTAGTGTGACTTTCCTCAATTTTCTCAGTATCATTTGTTTCTTCATTCTGTGTTGTTTCTGTTTCAGTTTTCTGTTCCAATGGTGTTGGAACTGTAGTTTCAACAACAGTTGATTCTTCATCATCGGTGGTGGGATTTTCTGGTGTTGTGTCATTGATAACCACATTTATGGATTCCATGACACTGTCTGTTCTGAGGTTGAATACTCGATAGGCCCTGCTGTTTGAGGAGTATCCTAGGAATATTCCCTCATCTCCTTTGATGTCAAACTTACCCAAAGGCTCTCTATCTTTTAATATATAACATTTGCTGCCAAAGACATGTGTATGTTTTAGATTTGGTGTCTTTCCCTTCCAGATTTGGTAGGGTGTCATATTGGTTTCCTTTCGTATGAATATTCGGTTTATCAGGTAACATGCGGTGTTTACTGCTTCAGCCCAAAACTTTGA